CCAACCAGGCCCCCCAGGGGCAGCATTGGACCCAACTGGGCCCCACAGCGCCCGAGCCACGGCAACCCCCGCCCGCCGCCCACCCGCCATCGCCCCCGCGTCCCTCAGAGCGCCGCCCCGCCCCGCTCCGCTCCCCTCCTCTCCCCTCCGCCAATGACAGGCGCCCCTCTCAGCTGCCAATCACCATCGACGACCAACCGGATGGCGGCGGGGGCGGGCCCTCAGCCCAGGCAAAGTTGCCGGGCGGCTGCGGAGTCACTCGGCTGAGTCCGGTTCCTCACCGCACGGCACCGCGTCTTACCGCACCCTACAGTACCGCACCGCACCGGACAGCATCCTACCGCACCCTACAGTACCGCACCGGACAGCATCCTACCGCACCCTACGGTACCGCACGACACCGTACCGCACCGTACCCTCCGGCACCGCAGCGTACGGCGGGGCCCCGCTCCCTCCGCCACCGCACCCTCCGGCACCGCAGCGCCCGTGCCCGGCGGGGCCATGATGGCGTGCGCCGAGCTCCTGGCCGTCTGCCTGCTGTCGGCCGACCGCGGCCCCGCCGCCCCCCGCCGCCAGCCGCTCCCCATCTTCCACGACGTGAGTAACCCCCCCAACCCCGGTCCCACCCCCGGGGCCCGCTCACAGGGAGCCGTGGCCGAGGTGTCAGGGCGAGGCCCCTTTCCCGCCTTCCCCGGCTGAGGGGAGACGGACCCCAGGGAGGAGCGAGCGGGCCCCGCCGCTTCCCTAGGCCTGAGGCGGCCCATCGAGGCGTGGGTTTCGCGATGTGTTAAATAACACTCAGCGTTGTGTCTTTTTTTTTTTTTTTTTACAGCAAGCCCTTTCCAGCTACAAAATTTTTAAAACCCCATAGGATTTCCAACTGTTTTTTTTTTTTTTTTTTGTCTGAATTCTGGGCCTTTTGAGCGGCTAGAAATAGCCCACTCCTGGTTGAAAGAGCTGGTTGTCGTGACTCCGTGCGTGTGTCTGGCAGGAAAGCCGGGGAAGGCACCGTGGAGCTGTTAAAAGCCGTGGGATCCCCCAGGCGGAGCGTGCCCATTGCTGGCTGCAGCCCCCGGCCCACTTTAACACACCGGGAGCTGGGGAGGAAGATGCTGTCTGGGCAGGCTGGAGGTCCCGGGCAGGCTGGAGGTCCCGGGCAGGCTGGAGGTCAGCCGGGCACCCTGGCGGCTGTGGGAGCTGAAGATGGGGATAGTGGCCATCGTTTGTTTTCACAAGGCAGGTCCCGGCATGATACCCCCCATCCTGCCATGGCCCCTTGAGCCCTGTGGTCGAGGGTGCACCCGTCGAGAGGGAGCTGTGTGCCCTGGGCTCTGGGGGAGGCAGTGCCTCTCCCCCTGCAGCATCCAGCACCCTGGCTGTCTCCCAGGGCAAGTGGCACAACCTGGGTCAGAGCCCATCTCTGCTGCTGGAGCACATCAGAGGTGCTCTGCTCTGGCCATCGTTTGTTTTCACAAGGCAGGTCCTGGCGTGATACCCCCCATCCTGCCCCTCACCCCTTGAGCCCTGTGGTCGAGGGTGCACCCGTCGAGAGGGAGCTGTGTGCCCTGGGCTCTGGGGGAGGCAGTGCCTCTCCCCCTGCAGCATCCAGCACCCTGGCTGTCTCCCAGGGCAAGTGGCACAACCTGGGTCAGAGCCCATCTCTGCTGCTGGAGCACATCAGAGGTGCTCTGCTCCCCTGCTCCTGGCTGTCATTTGTGAGCTGCAGGGTGACTGGGTTGGGTGGCAGTCACCCAGTCTCCCTGGTGGGACACCAGCCCTTGCGTTGCCTGGTGTCCCACACCACCGGGGTCAAAGTCACCCTGTGGAGCCAAGGAGACGTGCGAGCGGAGGTGCTTCCCCTGCCCTGCCGCGGGGACTGCGGAGGAGAAAGAGGGTTAAGGGTTGGTGTGGTGCCCCAGCATCTGGACAGCCCAGGATGGTGCCAGCTGTCATCTCTGTCCTGTTCTGGTCCGGGTGGTGCCACCCCCCGTGTCCCAGTTCATCCCAGAGGAAGGGAGTGGGAGATCTCGGGCACCACTTTGGGAAGGTGAATGCCATGCCTGGTCCGGTCCTCTGGCTGGGAGACCCCCTGGCAGGAAGCAGCAGGAAAGCGCGGCTCCCTCGGCTGCAGTGGTGCTTCCAGCTGGGGGTCAGGGTCTCTCTCCTGCCGTGGGGAGATTTCAGGCTGCAAGGCTCTCCAGCCAGCATCATTAACCGCAATAATTACTTGGCTGATGGAAGATGGGCTGGAGGGGGATTGGTGGTGACAGCTGTGTTTCAGCTCAGCTCCTCGGGGCACTCTCTGAGTCCCACATCTATCCCTCAGGGTGTCATTAAAGCAATTATAAGGGGAAGTGTTAACAGTGCTAGCAGCTGCTTTCTGGGTTCTAGCGGCTTCCCTTCCTCTTCCCCATGGCTCCCTTTGCTCCTGCTTCGGGTCCGGAACTTGGCAGGGGGAGTTTAATGTCTCTGCTTTTGGGTCGGGGCAGTTGGCTGGTCTCCAGCTGCCCCCCCCCAAAGGCTTGGCAGGGTGAGCTGCTCCCCACTGCAGTGGGGCAGGATCTATGTCTGCCCCTCGGACAGTGGGAAGGGAGGGCTGCCCAAAACAGATCCCAGGTGACAGCCAGTGCTTCCCCTGGGACCAGAGCTGCCAGCTCCCTGCCCGCAGATTGCCTGCCTTCAGGAGAGGTGAGGAGGAGGAGGAGGGCTTTGCCTGAGATGCTTCACTGCAGGCGTGGTACAAACTGCAGTGCTGCCATCGCAATTCTTTCTCTGTGCAGACATCTCAAGCCTCTGGGAGATTCATTCCCTGGGCTCGGGGCTTGCTTACTCCCCTCTGGGTGGACGAGGGGTTGAGGGGAGCCCCTCGGACAGCCTGCTGTTCAGCGCCAGTGCCTGGCCGCAGCCCGCAGCAGCCTGCGGTGGCTGCATGAGCATGGTGTCCCCAGGGCAACTGTCCTCTCCCCAACAGCCCCTGTGTCCCTGGCTGTGTATCCAGCAGCTGCGATTGCTTCCAGCCCTGCAGGCAGGGAGAAGCCCTATGATGTCCCTCCTTCCCGGGGGGTGTGTGTGTGTGTGGGGATTCATCCCCAAATATATACAGGTTCGGTGCTTGTGTTGTCAGTCCCAGGGTGTTTGCTGCCGCAGGCATCGTGTGGGGCTTGGACCCAAGCCCAGGAGCCCGGGGCTAAAGGAAATACCTTGTGCCTGAGGCGGTGTTCCTGTGTTTCTGAGACTGCCAGCCCCGAGTGTGAGCCGGGGATTGCCTGGAGGGCTTCTTCAGCAGCAGCCGCAGACCTGATCCCATTCCCAGCCTGGCTTTGCATCGCTTTCCCTTGGCTTTGTCCCAGGGCTGCCGCCCGCTCTGGGCTGTTGCACCAGGAGCAGCATTTACCTGCCATTGCCATTTCTGTGCCTGCACCCGGGGGGACTGGGGGGGTCACCCTGTGGAGCGTGGAAGGGGCTCTGCGCAATTCTTGCTTGGCTGGAGTTGAATCCTGCCTCGTGCACGAGATCCGTTGATGTTTTCTGGAGCGTGTGGTGCTCACCGAGGCACCCCTCTGCCCACGGATGGGCTCGCTGGAGGCACTGAGGAGCCCCAATGTCCCTGGGGGACATGGACCAGATGTGTCCTCTCCTCTCAGGGCTCTCACAGCTCGGCTACTTATGCCACGTTTATTTATTTTGAGCTTCAGGCTTTTCTAACGCACCACTGGAGCAGAGGATCCCGCCCGTGTGTGAGGGAGAAGCATCAGCTTTGTTTGTTGAGGTTTATGCTGAACCAGGATGGGCTTATGCTGGGTTAGAGAGCTTCTCAGCCCCATGGGATTCCCCCCAAAATTGTGTTCTCCCTCGTAGCCCACAGACAGACCCTGCTGAGCAAGGCCAGCTTGGGAGTGGGAAATGTTACCCCTCGCTTGAATCTGAGTTTGTTAGGTGCCTGGGTGACCCTTGACTGTCTTTGGGCTGAGCTAGCTGGCCTCAGGGACGTTATAGTCATAGAGATGTCATTGCATGAGCCATGTGTCCCTAGGATTAAGATTTTTGCCTTGAAGGAAAGTGGCGTGTCGGTGGCAGGGTGGGAGCCTTGGCATGTGTAACGCAGCGCCCTGATGTGCAAGTGTACCCTTCTTTTTGGATTTCTTTTGCTTTAAACCCCAGAGAAACTCCCAGCACGTGGGAGCTGTGGGTTCCTGTCTCAGCTGGTAGAAGTAAAGCTCCAAAGAGCATCCCAGTGAGTCCTACTGGGCATTACGGGAGGAGCTGCCCTGCTTTCCTGCGAGGGAAGCAGCCTGCCCGGCTGGAAGCCCAAGCCCCGGAGGGATGGTTACCTAATGCTGGTCGGCTCAGGGCAGCCTCTGTTCTCTGCAGCAGCTCAGGTCGGGAGGAGTTTGCCTGACTCAGAAGACCATCTTCCAAGGAGGTGTCCCTGCTCCTGGTTTCGGTTGCGGGGAAGGACCAAGTTGCTTCCTGCTGGGACCAGCCTCAGAAAAACCTCTGCCTGGTTGCAAACCAGTAGCTTCCTCGGGAGTGAGCAGCAGAGGTTTCTCTGAGCAGCTGTTTCTTCTTTACCAGAAAGCAGTTTTTCGGGGGTGCTTGAGTGGCTAGACGTGGGCTTGTGCCCTCAAAACATGCAGCAGAGCTGTCAGTGAGCAGTGCAAAAGGGAGCTGGGGGTGGAGGGGGCAGCTGGCAGCGCCGCGTCTTCATGCGGCAGGGAGCAGAGCTGGTCTGGGGGCGGTTTGATCAGCGCTCTCTGCTTTGCAGGTGCCTGGAAAAAAAAAAAATAATAAAGTCCGCTTTCTTCTTTTCCTGTCCTTTTTCATTCCTGATCTTTTTTCAGACCTTCAGATTTCTTCATCAACCAGCACGATTCAAAACAAGTTGCCACACACGCAACTTTCTGTTGTTGCTTCTGTTAGGATGTGCTGGCCAAAACCTCGTACTGTTTGGTGTGGCAAGATGTTCCCAAGCTTCAGAAATGATGCTGTTCCTCCCCAGAGTCACCCCCAGACCTTCCAATAATTATTGGTGAAATTAGAGCCAGGCAGGGATAAGAAGTGCCAGCTTTCTCCTGGGTCACGGGCATAAGCCTCGTGGTTGAGAGCCTGGGTTGAGACCCTCAACTGAAGGAGCTCTCCAGCTGTGCTCTGTTGCAGAATTAGTTACGGATTAATTAATTCATTAATTATTAATTACAGTGTGCGTGCATGTCGAGGTGTCGCAGACAGGACTGTGCTGAAGGGTGATTACCAAGCCCAGGACAAGAGCTGCTCCTCGGTGCGGAGGGTTGAAGTGTCTGCGGTGATGTGCTCCAGTTGTGGAGTGGTTTTATGCTTAATGTTCTTTCATTTAAAGGGTCTGAAAAATTAAACACTTCCCATCACGAGGGTGTAGCGAAGCCCTTTCTACTTTGTTTTTTCTCTCTGTGTTCTCTAAAAGATGCTCGGGGTGAGCGCTGGGCTTGCTTGGGCTGTGGCAGCTCTGCTGAGACCTTGGTGCATTGGAGGAGGTGAGAAATGGTTTTAGTGGTTTGCAAAGGGGAATTTCCTCCGAGCAGCCTGTGCAGCTCTGGCAGTGGGGGCTCCTCTGCTGCTCCCCAGGCTCTGGGAGGTGTTTTTCTCCTGGTGGCAGTGCCGGGTGCCACCTGGTTCACCGTTCAGCCGCGCTGCTCTCCCTGCTCCCTCACTAAACCCTCTTGTATTTTCTCTTGCAGATTTTCCGACGAGCCGACAAGAACGGTGAGTGCTTTGTTCCTGCTGCTGCCTCCCCCTCCCTGCCTGGCTCTGGGTGGCACAGCCTGTCCCCGCTGGGAGGTTTGGCTGAAAGAGTGAAGGAGGATAAGGGCAAGCAGTTCTCCAGCTGCAGGAAAAGTGCTCTTCTGCTTTGCCTGGAGGAAAAAGCACTGGAGAAAAGGGCCTGGCTGGGGAGGTGGGCTCCCCACCCGTGCTCCATGCAGGACAGAGCCCCTTCCAAGCTATTCCCCTGCCTGCGTGCTAGCAGTGAGAAGGGAAGGCAAAGCAAGCTGGGCAGCAGGCAGCCCAAGGGCCATTAGACTTCTGCCTCATCCCTTGCAGGATTGAATCCTGAAAGGAGTTTGGTCTCTGTGCTCAGTCAAGGGTTTTACAGGTAGCCCTGTTCATGGATGCCCACTGGAGCCCCCAGTGTTTGAGAGTTAAGCTCTGCTACCCAGTTTTTAATCAAAAAAACCCAATATAGTAATATAAACCAAGAAGTCCAAAATCACAAGTCATTTCTCTGAGCCTTCGCAGCCCCTCTTGGGCTCTTCTCCTTCACAGTAGCTTGCAGGCTCCAGGATCTGCTTTTGTTGCTCAGGAAGATGCAGTGCAAGGAGCTGAAGTCCTCCACAGAGAGGAAGGAAGAAGCTCTTGAGTCAATGGGAGAGATTTTCTTTCCATAAGAACCTGATCCTCACTGTACTGTTTGTGATAGACACTGTGCTTGGACAGTCATCTAAGTCCGGAGTGTCTGCACGCCTTTCTGAAAACAGTGGGATCTTTGGGAAGGGGCTGAAATTCCCACCTGAAATTCCAGCAGCAGCAGCCCTGCTCGCCAACGTTCCAGGGTTTTGGATGGGGACTGGTGGGACATGCTTTCAGTGAGATATATCTGCTCTAATTACTATGCACAACACGCCCAACCGTCCCACGCTCCCGGTAGCGAGGCTGCTGGGAGGATGGCTGGGGCCTGGATGCTTCTTTCTGCAGATATATAATTATTCTTCCCTTTTATTGAAATGCAGATGATGGGAAGCTGTCATTTGAGGAGTTCAAGAACTATTTTGCTGATGGGATCCTGAGCTCGGAGGAGCTGTGGGAGTTGTTCAGTGGCATCGACAGGCGTCATTCGGAGTAAGTACTGTGGTGGCACAGAGGAGAGGAGCTGAAGGAGAATATCAAACTACTTGAGTGGAGATGGAGAACGTTTGGAGGCGGGTGCAATAAATAAGTCGGGGTGAGATAAACCTACCTCTTGTAACACGCAGATGTTAAAACCCCTTGAACATCAGCTACGAGCCTCGGTGATGGGAGAAGTCAGGCGTTTTGAGAACAGTCGTGACCAGATGAACTGTAGTCCTGTAAGAGCAACTCTCCCTTTTAAAATTACATTACTTTAGTTTGAAAACTGTATTCCAGAAATATACAGCTCCACAGAGCAGGTTGTGTGTCTGCAGGAGAAGCGTGTGGTGGCGTGAGGACGATGCACAGACTGTGCAAAGTTGCAGACTTTGCCACTGCTGACACAGGGAACCGCTTTTCGCTTATGTAAGAGCCACTTTCCACCAGAACTGGGCCTTGTGAGTGTGACTGTGAATTTAGGCCAGCTGCTTTTAAAAAAAGAAACTCCCAAAGAACAGGAGAAGTAATTGCACTCCACCCTGGTCTCCTCTTGACTGGTGCTATCTAGAGGAGTCTGTCGGGCTTGGCTGGGTTTCTCATCCCAGTCTTTCAGGTGTCAGGGTGGCATTGCTGGGGTCCCTCTCCCTGCTGTGAAGGAGCCTGGTTTGGCACTGGGAGGAACTGGCCGTTGATAAACTGCATGTTGTGGGGCTGCCTGTTGAAATGGAGGGGTGCTGCTGGAGGAGGAGGTGGCTGCAGCTTCCTCCTGGTCTTGGTGGCAGGCTCAGCTCTGGCTTGTGCCACTTCCCTCGCACCCCAGGAAGTATCTCCTGCACCAGTCTGATGGCTTCAGCCAGGGTGAGGTAAACTGGGAGTAGCCTTAGCTGCACATGCTGGTCCTGGGACCCTGCAGGGAGCCAGGGCAGTGGCACAGGGGGCTTGTCCTGTGCCAAGATGCCAACAGACACTGAATGCCACCAAGCCACAGCAAATACTCAGTGTACCCTGGCTACAACTCCCCACGTCGTCCACCCAGGACTGGGGCAGTGGGAATGGTTGACTCCTGCCCAGTGTTGGGGCAGTGGATTTCCCTGATGCTCCCAGTTCAGTGATGGGGCAGGGAAGGGGGCTGGCGTGTGCGGCCCCTGGTGCCGCTTTCTTTTAAGCCTGGCTGCCCGTTGCTGCCTGTCCCGGCCAGTTGGGCTTGTTGGATGTGGGCAGTGGGGGAAAAAACTCCTGAAAAAACCTCTGTCTCTTTGGGCTGTGATCCCAGGGAGTTAGCAGTGAGCTGTTCCCCCTCCTCTCACTCCGTTTTGGGGTGATCTTGGAGTCACCCCCCATATGATACTGCTGGAAAAACATGGGTTGCAGTGAAGCAGAGAGTTTTAACTGTGCCCTTAACTGAATGGTGAAGATCTCCTCGTTTACCATCACTTTCAGGTCAGGTTTCTTAGAGTCATAGAATAGTTTGGGTTGGAAGGGACCTTTAAAGGTCATCAAATCCACCCTCTTCTTTGCCCGGAGCAGATAAGCAGGACTGAGGAAGGGCCCTGTGTGAGCCGGGTGTCTCCGAGAGCCACGCACGACCCCGGCCGCAGCCGTGCTCTCCATAACTCATTACCCATCATGACAATGCAGTAGCTATGACAACGTGGCAGTTGCAGCATTGAGCTGGTGACATCTATTAGCAGGGCATGACCGCTGGGTCTTTGATCTCTTTCTCCCATGAAGAGCAGAAGGGACCCTGCGGATGGAGCTGGTTTCCAAATTCCTGTGTTCAGAGACTTCAAGCAAATGTAGGAGACGCTGTCCCTCCACCCTGGGAGAGTGCCCTCATTTCTGCAAGAGCAGAAGGGAAAGTCCAGCCCTGAGGCCGCTGCAGGTGTCATTCTTGTTTCTGTCCCTGGATGGGACAGAAATGTCCCTGGCGTGGTCCATGCATGTCCCTGACGTGGTCCATGTGCACAGGGTCAGTGCATGGGACAACTTTTTAGAAATAGTGTGACCAGCAGAAGTAGGGAGGTGATTGTGCCCCTGTACTCAGCACTGCTGAGGCCACACCTCGAGTATTGTGTCCAGTTCTGGGCACCTCAATACAAGAGAGATCTGGAGGTGCTGGAGCGAGTGCAGAGGAGGGCAACGAAACTAGTGAAGGGGCTGGAAGACAAATCATATGAGGAGCAGATGAAGGAGCTGGGGCTGTTTAGTATGAGGAAGAGGAGGCTGAGGGGAGACCTCATCACTCTCTACAACTACTTGAAAGGACACTGTAGAGAGGTTGGAGCTGGTCTCTTCTCACAGGGAGTTAACAAGAGAACGAGAGGGAACGGCTTCAAGCTCCAACAGGGCAGGTTTAGACTGAACATTAGGAAGGAATTTTTCACCGAAAGAGGGGTCGGGCATTGGAACAGGCTGCCCAGGGAGGGGGGGGAGGCACCATCCCTGGATGTGTTTAAGGGACGTTTAGATGCGGTACTGAGGGATATGGTGTAGGGGAGGACTTTGTAGAGTAGGGGAGATGGTTGGACTCAATGATCCCAAGGGTCTCTTCCAACCTAGATGATTCTATGATTCTATAAAAAAAAAAAAAAACCTTCAGTGGGAGCAGGATGGGACATGGGAGGAGGCAGCAAGGAACTGTATGTGATTTCTTCAGGATCTTCATGGAGGAGGAGAAGGTGGGATGCCCCAAAGGGGGAGCCTGGTATTCAGCTTATTGTCAGGTAAGAGGCATCCTGTCCCCTGCAAACAGTGTGGGGCTGTGCTGCATCGGCCAGAGCGCTCTGATCCTGACCCAGAGCCAGCCCCGTGCCTGCTGGGATGAGGGACTTGGAGACACAGGCCTGTCCCCAGGGAAACATCATCCTGTCTGTCCCCAGGGACTGCTTGTGGCAGGTAAGGGAAATTGAGCAGTGTTCAGCACTCTGGGCCTCATAGGGATCTCTGTGTGTAGAGCTGGACTTCCTGGCGTTTGTTTTTGGGGTGTGCAGGGGGACCTGCTCCTTTGTAGGACCTGTGGTGTCTTGTAAGGACTGTGTTGGTGCCACGCTGTCCCCTCAGTGTGGGGTGGACAGTCCCTCTCCTCCGAGCAGCCCGCTTGCCTTGTGCTTGGGGGTACTTAATATTTGTGAGAGCTGCATGAAATTTGCTGCCAGATTCAAGAGTTATTACCTGAGATAAAGTGCTCAAAGTGTTAGAAAGCTGGAAGGCAACTACAAGCTCTGCAAACGTACCCGGGGTGCTGCTTTCATTCCCCACAGCTTTTCTGATAATGGGAAAGTTTCACCCTTAATCCAACGGGTGGATTTGGCCACAAGTGTGCTGTGTTCATCAGGTCTAGGCTGAAACTTGTGTTTCTGGGTCAATGCCAGCCTGACCCCAGGAGAGATGGTGACAGGGACCTTTTACCCAGGCACTCTCTGGAGCTGGGTAACAGATCCTGATCCTTGCCCATCACTGCCAACCTGCTCCCTGGGTCCCAGAGCTGACATCTGGGAAGATGAGTATTTCAGAGGTCTCATACGTTACTTGTTCTCCTTCCAGAGAGCCCATGGCACCACACTCTCCTTTTCTCCCTGTCTTTCCCATCTGATCTTTGCTCCATCTACCCGGCACCCAAGTGGGTTGTTGTGCCCTGTGCATCAGGCACCTCTGTTGGCTTCAGTTCAGATTTCAAATTTCCCCACAAGACTTTTTTTTTTGTTCTCCATTTCTGAAAATTTTTCATTTTGGCTTTAAAATTTCTCTTTGCTCTAATTCTTTGCCATTTAAAAAAAAAAATACGTTGAAACTGAATGCAACTTTTTATTGCCCTTTTTGGTCCAACGTCTGCTTGTCGGAAAGCTCCACACCAGCTCTGGCACTGGTGCAGAACAGAGAGGTTCGTCTCCCTGGAAAAGGGCATTTTCATCCACTGAAACTTACGAGTGGGAAGAGATAAATGTTTTTGGAGGGATGAAGAAGTTCTATTGCTGCAGAAGTGTCTTGGGAGATGCAGGATGCAGTTGACTCTCTGGGCTGCCTTGTGTCTGTGTGGGTGGGATGGCAGCAGATCCAGGGTCTCACAGGGACAACTTAAGGGAGAATTGGATACAGGGGGCTTTGGAGTGAACATCGGACTGTTGCACAGGTTGCATGCCTGCTGCTCTTCACAGGAGACTGAAACCTGGCCAGGAAAGTGTCATTTTTGTCCTGCATCTGTCGGGAAAATGTAGAAAAATAAGGTATGGTCAATCTTCCCGTGCGTGAGAGCAGTCGGATGGTGGTGGCAGGAACTGTGTCCGGACTGGCCAGGGCCTGTGTCTGAGACCTGGAACCACAAGGGAAAGAGGTGGGAGTGCTGAACTGGTGAATTTTAAAAACTTTCAGTGGGTTCTGTTCTGGGAAACAGGCTTCTGGTTCTATGGAAGAAGGGACTTCTGTGAACTTTCTTCTCCTCGCTTTAGTCAGAGACTTGGAGCCACAGTGTCTCCAGTTTCTGAATGATGGAAAGTGCCTGAAACACTCTGGGTCACACTGGGAAGGTTTGGAAACCTTCTCTGGTTTGAGGTGAAACAGAACCAATTTTCCGTGATGGCAGCAGAGGTTTCCAATGTGATAAATGATAAAAATAAAAGAATCCCCATCTGCTTTGCTAAAGCTGATTGCTGTTTTCTTGCATAAATTCCAGGCGCATTCTGACAAAATCCCAACAGCATAATGATGACAAGATCCTTCATCATCAGTTCAAGCTTAATTACAGTTAATCAGTGGTTTGAGCACAGTCAAAATACAGCTATGTGGAGAGTCTCTGGATGAGTGCTTTGGAGACAGAGGATGGCTCTTCTCTTGGAGTGGGAGGGGGGGATGGCAGAGAGAGCAGCAGAGAGAAGGTTGCTGCCCTGCTGCAGCCCTGAAAACTAGGTTGGGATTTGATGTGCAGGTTCTTTATGTGAGCTCCTCCTGATTTCTGGTATGAAGTAGCATAAAGATGGTACCTTTGGTTGTGCAATTTGCTTTCTGTGCTCTGTCCTGCCCCTAATTGCGCCCTGGGGCTGCTGCGGGATGCGGAATTGGGAAGAGGTTGCTGCAGGGTTGCTGATGGAGCAGCCTGCACTGGGATGGGAGCAGATCTGCTACTGGACACCTCCCAGGGGGGCTGATTTGTGCCACAAGGTCTTGGTGAGTGGTTCAGTGTTTAACAGTGTGTAGTGATTGATTAGGTAATATTTGGTTCTAAGCAGCAAACAGACAGCTACAGGGTTGTGTTGATAGTAGCTCTTTGTCACACGGACATTTGCTCGCTACAGCTGACATGGGGAACTGGTGTCCCCTTCTTCTTCCTGGTGAAACCAGCCCCAGGTTCTCACTGGGGACAGCTGCAAACACCTGGGTAACGTATGCACTAGGTGTTTCACTGGGTGTTTTGTTCTCATCTCCTCTCCGTGTCCCCTCTTTTGCAAATCTTGCCCATCTGGATGGGAACCAGTGGCTGCAGTTATTGCTCTGGGGCACGGGACTCACAGGCGATGCTGCGGTGCCAGGTCTCTTGTGGCAGTGCAGCACCAGCAGCTCTGCAGGCTCCAGAAATCTGGGGGAAAAAATTAAGAAGGAGCAAGACACTTTTCCAATTTAAATTTGTGCGTCAAACCCCGGTCACTCGGTGTAGCAGAGCATGGAAGCTGCTCAGAGATGGGATCAGCAAAGTTTGATGGAGCGGAGTCGGCGAAAGAAGGGGCCGTTGTTTTGCTGATTATCTGTATTGCGTCTCAAGGGAAACACTGAGGGTTTTTTATCCACTTTAAAAAGTGTCTGCAGTGCCAGGACAGTGCGCCAGAGCCCTGCCTTAATCAGCTCCTGCGGTAGGTGTTTAAAATAGATGAGCCAAATCACATCCTCAAACTGCCTGTCTCCGTTGCCTAAGAAGGCGCCTGATGCAGTCAGTTAAACAGGGGGGTCTGCGGTCCCACTGCTGGGGGTCTGCGGTGACGTCTTGCACCAAAATATTTCCATCATTTGAAGCATTGCCCGTTATTAAAGTTCCCCTGGGCGGAAGCCTGGCAGAGAGATGCAGAAACCAAGCCCTTAATGTTTGGGGGAAAAGCTGTCGTAAGATTTTTGCTGAAGTGATTACGCCTGTTCTTGGCATGGCGTGTTGGAGACTTCCCAAGCTCTCCTCTAATTTAACCTGGGGGTGTTTTTGTCCCTTTGTCCTGTGAGAGAGGGAACAGGGTGGTGTGGCCATGGTGGGACATCCCCTGGGCAGCGGCGCTACAGCCGTCCTTGTGCTTGGAGCCCAGCAAACTCCAGGTTTCACAGGTTCCTCCACACGTGATGGTGCTTAAAAGCTTAAAAAACTCTCTTTCGTGCTCTCTTCCACTTTCCCAATCAGGGTTAAAAGTGGTTGTAATCATTTAGGGGGATTTTTGAGGCAGCAGAATTTCTTGAGTGCAGGCTGATTTAAATAAACAACATCCTGGGGCTTTTCCCTGCAGGTGATGCCGGGTGTCACAGGCAGCTCTGCCTTGGTGGCTTTGGCCACCTGAGCGGATCTGACAGCTTCATGTCAACCCACGGTTCTGCTTGACATCCCCTCCTGAAAAAGTGTGGCTGTTTCTGGATGTTTTCTCCTCCCTCTCCACCCCAACAGCACCTTTATTAGAAAGAGGAGGATCCTCTCCAAGCCCTGCGGGGATGCCAGCGTTGATTCTTCACTACAGTGCTCTCTGTCCCTGAAAAGGGACAGGGGGCTGGCTCCTGCCTTCAGGTTTTTGGACCCAGATCCCTGCTTTAATGGCCTTCACGGCAGGAACAACCTCTCTCGTGGGCTGTGAAGCCATCCAGCCCCTGCCCTGGGAGCCTGAGGGCAGCCCCACATCACTGGGGCTCTGAAGGCAAGGAAGAGGAGGAACAATCCAGGGCACCCATGGGGCAGGTGGGAGAGGAGGGGGCCCAGTGCCTTGGGGCAGCCACAGAGGAGGACCTGGGCTGAGGTCAAGGGAGATGTGAGGAGGGAGCCCTGGCCAAATGCTTCACACCTTTGGGAGAAGAGGTTGGGTTGAAGAAGCAGCTTCTGGGGCTCATCAGCTGCAGGGCTCAGCTGGGTGCTGCAAACCCAGCCGGCCAGCCCAGGGCTGTGGGGCAGTGCCTGCCTCCCCCCACCTTCCTCCCAGCCCCGCTCTCACGGACCTTTCCCAGCACACTCCAGCTCCAGGAGATGTTGGTGGAGCAGCTTTGCTTGCTCCTTCAGGCCTTGAAGCAGAGGTGATGCTCTGCGGTGCTGCCTGGATGCTGCAGGTGCTGGGCATGGCTCCTGAGCTGCTGGCTCTAAACTTGGTGCAGCTTTTTCTAATACAGCTTTTGAAAATACATGAGAGGAGCAGTAAATCCACTGAGGGCTGAAGCCCTCAAGGCTCTGCTCACCACAACTGTTTCTTCTGAACCCGCCCCACCATCTAACAAGAACTTGTTTTTTTTTCTGTTTCTTGCAGTAACGTGGAGACGGAGAAGTTGTGCGGTAAGTAGGGTGGTGTTCCTGCCTCACAGGGCTTCCTCTCTCGGGGCTCTGTGGTGGGGCTTTGTGTACATCCCACCTGGGCAGGGTTGGGCAGTCAAGTGGCACTGTGCCTGAATCCCAGCACAGAGGGATTCCCGAGGGGAAAACTCTGGAGAGGGACAGGAGTGTCCCCCCGCAGCGCTGGGCTGTGTGCGGGAAGCTGCGGGCACAAGGGAGGCAGGGCTGGAGGTGCTCGGGAAGCTCACCATGCTCTTCTCCCCTTAGAAGGGCAACCAAGCTTGTGAGGGGTCTGGAGACCCCGCAGGGCTGGAGGTGCTCGGGAAGCTCACCACGCTCTTCTCCCCTTAGAAGGGCAATGAAGCTGGTGAGGGGTCTGGAGAGTAAGTGTTATGAGGAGAGGCTGAGGGAGCTGGGGGGGTTCAGTCTGGGGAAGAGGAGGCTGAGGGGAGACCTTATCGCTCTGTACAACTCCCTGAAAGGAGGGTGTAGAGAGGTGGGGGTCGGTCTCTTCTCCCAAGTTACAGATGATAGGACAAGGGGTAATGGGTTCAAGTTGTGCCCGGGTAGGTTTAGCCTGCACATTGGGAAACAATTCTTCACAGAGAGAGTGGTCGGGCATTGGAAGAGGCTGCCCAGGGAGGTGGTTGAGTCCCCATCCCTGGCTGTGTTGAAGAACCGTTTAGATGTGGTGTTGGGGGATATGGTGTAGGGGAGAACTTTAGAGTAGGGTGGATGGCTGAACTCGATGATCCCAAGGGTCTCTTCCAGCCTAGATGATTCTGTGATTCTCTCCTGCTTCAGAATATTTCTCGGCCTACCTCGGAGAATACAGGAATGTGCTTTCTGCCCTGGAAGCCCTCAACTCTGCGGTCCTGGCAGCCATGGACAAAACCAAACTGGTAAGGGTGGGAGCGGGGAGGGCGGTGGGGCAGGGGGTGTGTGACAGAAGCTGTGGTGATCTTACCCCCTTGTTTAGCGTTTAACTGCGGGGTCAGGGGCAGGAAATGTGGTACCTCCCAGATCAACGGGGTTGCCTGTGCGTGCTTTGGTTGTCTCCATGTGCAGTGAGTTCTGCAGAAGCAGAGCATGGAGGAGGAGAAGGGAAGGGCTTAGTGCTTTTGTGCTCTGGAGACATCTTCTTCCTTGTGGGGCTCTGGCAGACCACTTGCAGTGTCCTGCCTGGGGACACCCCTACATCAGGGACCATCGCTGATGATCTGTCTTGTGTCTCTGAGCCAAAGCAAGGTGTTTTCCACAAAACAGTGTGGTGTGAAAAAGGCCTCCAGGGTTGAGCCTGCTCTGGGCTGACCCCAGCTCAGTGCAGCCTGTGCTCACAGTGACAAAAATTGGCGGCTGGAGAGGGGACAGGAGCCACTGCGGCAGGAGGGCTGCTTTGGGAAACAGCAAGAGCCTTGGGAGAAGGTAGGAAACGGTGAAATTCATTGAATCCCAGCCTCGTGCCGAGTTCATCCCTGCGGTGAGTGCTCTCCCTGCAGCTCCTACTGATGGGAGGCAGATTGGAGACCGCTAATTAGGGCAAGCAGCTTCCTGCTTTGTCAGCCCCCCTGCCTCAGTGCCGAAGAGCAGAGGTCTGCAGTGCGCAGCGTCAGGGCTAAATACAGCCGTGAAGAATCAGTGGCCAATACAGGAAGGGACCCTCCTGGGGGACCAGCAGCCCCCTTTGCATCTGAGATGTATTAAATGGTGCTTGGGGCTGAGGCTGTTTTACAGCCCTGGAAAGGGCCGGCCCTTTCTTTCCCTTTGATGTGGTGATTGGATGCTTGGTAAGAAGCAGATGAAGGGCATCACCCACCTCACACCGACCCCTGACGTGTCGATGGGACAGAGAAGCCAAGAGGGACCTGTCCCACTGTCAGCTCTGCAGAGTCGTCAAGGTGGGGTTTGTGCCTCTTTAGTGTCAGTCACGGTCTTGTCCTCTCTTTGAGTTTTCCTCTGGCCAGATCCAGCCTCAGCAGCATCTCCCCATGCTCTGGGAAATTTCCTACCAGGAGAGGGAATCCCTTGAAAATGCATTTTCTCTTTGGTTCAGCTGTCTGGCTGCCTTCAGAGTTATTAAATGCAGGTCTGGAGGGAGAGAATGAATCCTCTTCAGAGAGCTATGCTTTATTTCAGTTCTTTTCTGGTTGGTTTTTTTTTGGGGGGGGGTAATCAATTTGTATATTCCTGTATTTCTGCAAAGGACAGCACAATTACTGTCTGCTGCACAGCATTGACGTGATGTGTTCATTCACTTATTAGTTTCTGGTGCCACAGGTTTTCCCTGGCAAAAAGAAGCAGGTTTTCCCTGTTGAAATTTGTGGTCTGGCTTTTCCACCCCTGGTTGGATCTGCTCGGAGCCAGGGGCCCCGGGAAGCCTGATGTTCACGGCGCTTCTCTCACCCAGACAAGGTCTGTGCTGATCTGGGTGCTCTGATTCCAGCCCTGAGTTCCTGGGTGCCCCAAAGCAGATACTGACCCTCCAGGGGAACATCTCCCCGTGCATCCCTGGTCTGCTGGGCTCTGAGAAGGCAGGAGAGGGCAATGCTCCAACCCTGCGGTCAGGGCTCTTGCAGAGCTGTGGGGAATCTGCCGCTGCTGGAGGCTGGCAGGGATGATAAATGCTGAGTTCTTACCTGCTGTGACCTGACTATATCCCCACGGTTGTATTTCCAGACTAGGACTCGAGCTTGGGTTATTACAGGATTAGTGGGTTTATTAGGTTGGATTTTGGCCAAACCTCTCGCCTCTCTGAGCCAGGGGAGGGGGCAGAGAACAGAGATTTCCCATATTGCACGTCTGTCCCTAATTTCTGTTGATTCCAACACCTCTGATGCCATCGTGGCTGAGGACTGAGAGCCCCAGTTTGGCAGAGAGACCACTCTCCTGGAAGAGCCGAATGAAACTTCATCCCAGGGAGCTGCTTTTGCTGGAGATGCGACCACGCTGTGCGCTGAGCAAACTGGGAGAGACCTGCCAGCTCCACCAGCCCTTGCCATACAGCTCTGCTTCCAGAGCAGGGCTGTGGATCAACAGATGTTGAAGGATCTTCAGTCCCTGCCTGTTTTTCACAGAATCACAGAATCTCCTAGGTTGGAAGGGACCTTAAAGATCATCTTGTCCAACCGTCAACCTAACTGACAAAAATAGTCACCCACACAACAAACAAGGAGCATCATCACTAAACCAGACCTCCCAGCACTACATCAACCCGTCTTTTGAACACCTCCAGGGATGGTGCCTCAACCACCTCCCTGGGCAGCCCATCCCAATGCCTGAGAACCCTTTCAGTGAAAAAATTTTTCCTAATCTCCAGCCTGAACCTCCCCTGGCGCAACTTGAGGCCATTTCCTCTCGTCCTGTTGCCTGTGACTTGAGAGAAGAGACCGACCCCCACCTCTCTACACCCTCCTTTCAGGGAGTTGTAGAGAGCAATAAGGTCTCCCCTCAGCCTCCTCTTCTCCAGGCTGAATAACCCCAGTTCCCTCAGCCTCTCCTCATAAGACTTATTCTCCAGCCCCCTCACCAGCTTTGTCGCCCTTCTCTTTCCCCAGCATGTGCTTAAGAGAGCTTTGTGTCATTCCCGAGGAGGCAGTGATACCTGGGACCAGCTAGAAGGAGAAAGGGATCTCTGACTTGAGCTGGGTCTCACCAGTTGAACCGCAGCATCTCTTGGTTAGGGTATGGTCCATCTTCTGCTGCCATGGGCTTGCTCAGCCCTGCATCCTCCAGGTACTTACCCCACAGCTGCAAATCAGCTCCTGTAAATACAAGCCCGCTTTACAAGCAGGAAAATAGACAGAGATGGTAGGCTGCTTCGTTAGCACAACAAAAGCAGAGCCTGGGAGATGTACTTGGCTTGCTCAGACCGTGCCAGGGCAATGAGCTACAGGGAGGAGAGAGAGGAAATGAGGAATCCAGAGCTCAGAGGGAATATGCCGCAGCTCTGTGTTTGGGAGCTGTTTAAGCAGTGCTGCCCAAAGCCTTTTTGGTATCAAGGATTGGAACGGGCCCAGTGGAGGGCCGCAAAGATGATCAGAGGCTGGAGCCCCTCTGCTGTGAGGACAGGCTGAGGGAGCTAGAGTTCAGCCTGGAGAAGAGAAGACTCTGGGAAGACCTTAGAGTCCCTTCCAGTCCCTCAAGGGGGCCCATGGGAGAGATGGGGAGGGACAGTTTTAAACTGAAAGGGGGGAGATTTAAGTGAGATCCCAGGGAGAATTTTTTTGCTGTGAGGGTGGTGAGACCCTGGCTGGGGTTGTCCAGGGAAGCTGTGGCTGCCCCATCCCTTTTCCTCTAGCAGAAAAATGAGATGAATTTTCAAGCAGGGATGAAGCCCCATTGTCAGTATGGTGGCTGGGCAGGGGGCTCTGCTCGCCCGGGGGGTGAGGGGGTGTGAAGAGTGGCTGTGACCATCTTTCACCCACTCCAGCACAAGCCCAGGGCAGCGCTCGGTAGACGGCCACGTTCTCTCCGCTTTTCTTCCCCTCCTGGCCAGCTGCAGCCTTGCCAGCAGCCCTAGGTGGCTGTAACTCCAGGACTGGGGCTGGTGGCTTGGCCGTGGCACAGAGGGTCAAGAAAACCACGTAGGTCTCAAGACCTTCCCCGTTGCCCCCTCTTCCTCAATAGATTTTTGGCACCAGCGTTGGAAGGGTTACATCCACGTGCTCTTGAGCAAAGCTTCTGGAATTCAAGATCCTCAGCTCTCCTGTGTATTGGAGAGAAACACAGTAGGAATTGGAAATATTTGACCTGAGTGATGTGGTAGCATTGCTGAACTCTATTTTGGACATCAAAGAGAGTGTGTATCGTGCTTGGGTGGGTGAAAGCAGCCTGGCTCCTGGTCTGTGTCACAGCCTTGGGTGCGCATGAGGACACCATGGGGAAGGCAGAGGTGGCTCTGGTTCAATCTTTCTCCTCATCTTGTCAAGGAAAAGGGTTGACCTCTCCTGATGGATGCTCCTGTGGAGCAACCAACCCTCCTGCATCATGTGGAGACTCCTTCCTTGACCTCCCACCACCACTCCTGTCTCTCTTAATGCTCACGGTGATGTCCCATGGTTTCTTTGTCCTTTGAGGAGCTGGGCACAGGGCCTGGCCATGGTGAAAGGAGTCTGCTATGACAGCTGGGTAGGACTTCCCCCTTGCAACCTCTCATCCTTTTCTAATCGTCTGCTAAGCTGAGACAGGTCACTAAAGAAGCAGCAAAGGCAGGTGAGCACTTTTCTGCCCGTTCAGTGAGCCAGACCGGCTCCCTGAAGCACCAAAATTGCCTTTTTTCCGGAATTGCAGAGAGCAAATTAATTTCCCTGGTTGTCACTGGCTCATACTCTGTACCCAGCGCTGAGCTGCTTCAGCCCCAGGATCAGAAATCACCTCCTGTAGTAAAGCTGCTGCTGTGCAGGCACCTTCTCCTTCCCAGGTCCTTCCTCCCACTCCTGTGGCTCCTCACAGACCTTGAGGGTCCTGCTGGGCTGGAAGAAGCTTTGCTGGAGCAGCCCCTTCCCCACGCAGCTACAAGCAATGTGTTCAAAAAGGAGAGCGTTGCTGCGGTGCTCTGGACATGACAGCCTGCAGCGTTGGGGCTCAGCTGTGGACCAGCTGAGGACTGGGCTGCAGTGCCAACAGTTGGCATGGCCTGGCTTCACAGCTGCTGGTGGGATGGTTTGGATGCACGGTCATCGTCTGCCTACTGGAATATCTTGTGCTTTTACTCGGCACCGTGCACCTGGTACTCACCCTTTGCCACCCACATGAGCAATTGTGCCATCTGAGCCCCCTCATCCCTAGGCTGCTGGGACTCTCCAGGCTCACCCTGGCATGGAACAGGGCATTCAACTCTAAGCACATCTCAGGAAAGCCAGGAAACATGGAGGAGCCCCCTAACAGCACGATGTCACCCACTGTGTCCCTCCCAGTATAGTTGGTTACGACCTGGAGGCTCTGCAAGGCCAAGTGGGGAGATTTGGTGGAGTAGCTTTGGTTGGAAGAGCAGCTCTGGGCAGCAGAACTGTTCCTTGTCCAGGTTTATCCAGTGCCCATCAGGGCGTCTGAAATCTGGCTGGAGGATGGTAACCTAAATCATGGGGGTCTCCTTTGTAGTCCATGGAGACACAGCAGCATTGTTTCTTCAGCTGGATCACTGTCATTTTCTTCAACATCTTCAGCAGTGAGGGGTTGTTGGGGCTGTCTCTCAGCAGGCTGTGCAGGTAGCCATAGGAGAGGAAGCCACTAGCCACCCCAAGGTAGTAGGTAGCCTCCCTCCAGGTCTGGCCCAGGCAGACAGGGGTGACGTGGGGCACTCCTGCCCCAAACTCCATGGCCAGACCGGTCCCTCTGCACAGAGGCACAGAAGCCACGGGCAGGGCTGGCACCCCGAAGCTCTCAAAAAGCACCTTCGCCAGCTTTTCCTTGTTGATGGAGCAGCAAGATGGGGAGTCAGCCGTGAGCACCAGCTGCTCCTCTAGGAGAACTTTCAGGCCACAGAATAGAATCATAGAATCATAGAGTTGCCCAGGCCGGAAGGGACCTCCAAAGGCCATCTAGTCCGACCCCCCCGCAGTCAGCAGGGACACCCCCAACTAGACCAGGTTGCCCAGGGCCTCGTCGAGCCTCACCTTGAATATCTCCAGGGATGGGGCCTCAACCACCTCCCTGGGCAACCTGTTCCAGTGCTCCACCACCCTCACAGTGAAGACCCCTCTCCTAATCTCCAGTCTAAAGCTGTTCCCCTCCAGCTTGAAGCCATTGCCCCTCGTCCTGTCACTACAGGCCTTTCTAAACAGGCTCTCCCCAGCCTTCCTGTAGGCTCGCTTCAGGTACTGGAAGGCTGCTATTAGGTCTCCCCGGAGCCTCCTCTTCTCCAGGCTGAACAACGCCAGCTCCCTCAGCCTGTCCTCGTAGCAGAGGTGCTCCATCCCCCTGATCATCCTCGTGGCCCTCCTCTGGACCCTCTCCATCAGGTCCATGTCTGTCCTCTACTGAGGGCTCCAGACCTGCACACAATACTCCAGGTGAGGTCTCACCAGAGCAGAGTAAAGTGGCAGAATCCCCTCTCTGGACCTGCTGGCAACGCTTCTTTTGATGCAGCCCAGGCTGCGATTGGCCTTCTGGGCTGCAGCTGCCCACTGCCTGCTCATGTCCAGCTTCTCGTCCACCAGAACCCCCAAGTCCCTTTCCTCAGGGCTGCAATAAGAGGTTTTCCATGCTGTCCCAGTCCTCAGTGATGCTGTGCTTGAGTGGGCAAGTCCTTTGGTGCTTTGGCGAACACTGCTGTGCTCTCAGGGGCAGTGGGATGCCTCTGGCTCTGCCATGTCCTGCCTGCACTGCAGGGATGGAGCAACTCGGGCCTTAGCACAAACTTGGGCTTCTTCTGGCCTGCAAAGTCTGCCCAGGTGAAGCTGCTGCCACTGTCTATGGTGACAGCAGGCTTTGGCACTCCTGAGGGAGGGGAGGAGGAACAAGAGGAGTCTCGCAGGGGCAAACCAAGCCCAGGTACCTGCTCTGCAAAGGAGACTGTGGCTCAGCCCCAGCAGAGGACAACAATGCTTGTCCTAGAAGTGTCTCTGCGTCCGTGCCTCAGCCTTTCCTCCTGTCTCCTTGCTCCCTGCCTCCCTCCTTGAGTCCTTTGTCTCCATCCCTGGGGGCCTGGAGCTTGTCCCCAGGCCCTTGGGAAGTCTAGTGGCGCAAGGACAAAACTCCAGGTGGTGTTAAGGAAGCAAGTGAAAACTGGACAGAGAAGTAGAGTGGTTGGACCAGGCTGCAGGGAGTGGTGCTGCCAGCAGAACCCATGGCATGTAGAAAGGAGCCACATTCCAGGTGTGGCTGTTCATTGTACCCAGATTTTTGCCCAGTAGGATCTGTGGTCACAGCTGGTGAAGGAAGGAAGGAGTCTGGGGTGCCTGTGTGTGTGTGTGTCCAGGGACTTCCTCACCTCTCTGTGCTTCTCAGACATGCTCCCGAGGTACGGTGTGCATCCTGACACACTGTTTGGGTGCCCTCCAGCCAACTTGTTGCCTTGCCAGGATGCAGGGTCACCCTTTCATTCTCCTCAGTGCTTCTTGTGTGCGCCCCTGGACCTGCCTTTCTGTGCCCCCACCACTAGTGTCCATGGTGCATATTTTGCGGGTTAGATGGGGAGAAGGGTGGGAAGGAAAGGGCACAGAGCCCTGTGTTCCTGCTGGACACCCCTCATGCTTGGTGGGTGACATGGGGACAGGCTGTGGGGTGTGCATCAGAGGGTGCTTTTGTCCTATGGTGTCATCATTCCTACATTAACTAAAAACTTGATTAGAACCCACCCCGTTGGGTTTATTTAAGGGCCAGCCCCTTCCAGATGTGTCTCTGCTCTCCCAGCATGGAGCTGGAGGCACCTGACAGATCCTCTTCCCTTCCTCCTAGAGGTACGAGACCTCCTCGAAGATGGAGCAGTTCCTGACCCGTTTCCTTCTGAGGGAAACCATGCAGCAGCTGCAGTCCCTCCAAACCTCACTCGAGTGTGCTGTTGACACCGTGGAGGAGCAGGCAGGACGGGAGAGGTAATGGGGTGGGACATGCCAGTCTGTCTCCTCTCCCCACTGGTGCCTGTGGGGGTTGCAGTGTGGGGCAGAACCCATGGGTCACAGAATCACAGAATGCTATGGGGTTGGAAGGGACCTCTGGAGATCATCCAGTCCCACCCCCTGCCAGAGCAGGTCCACCCAGAGCAGGTCGCACAGGAACGTGTCCAGGTGGGGTTTGAATGTCTCCAGAGAAGGAGACCCCACCCCCTCTCTGGGCAGCCTCTTCCAGGGCTCTGCCACCCTCAAAGCAAAGAAGTTCCTCCTCATGTTTAGATGGAACTTCTTATGTTCAAGTTTGTGCCCGTTCCCTCTTGTGCTGTCACGGGGCACCACTGAAAAAAGCCTGGCCCCATCCTCTTGACCCCCTCCCTTTAAGTATTTATAGGTGTTGATCAGATCCCCCCTCAGTTTTCTCTTCTCCAGACTAATAAGACCCAAGTCCCTCAGCCGTTCCTCATGAGAGAGATGTTCTAGTCCCCTCATCAGAGTCCCCCTGGGAGGGACATCTGGGAGCAGGATCTGCCCTTTCCAAGCCCGTGTAAAGCTGATCCATCCAATGAATGACTCCAACCCCTCCTTTTGCATTTTATTCTTTCAGAAAGGACATAAATAAGTCTGAGACCTCGGTTGGCCTGAGATCAGGGAGACGGTGTGGGCGCAGAGGACAGAAGAACGTCTGTCTGTCTCCCACAGACCCCTATTCTGGGATGCTCATGACAGGTATCTGCAGCCCGGCCACCCCTCGGGCTGGTGTCTCTGCCCCGCTGGAGCTGGGAGTGGGTATGGGAGCAGGAGCAAGGGACAGTGGGGGCTTGTCTGGAAGGGAGCTGGGACCATCACTCCCAGATGCCAGCTGGAGCTTCTGTGGGATGTTGTATGTCAAGTATTGAGGGAAAAGTTTCAGGAGAAAAGTCAATTTTTTTGGTTTAAATCAGAGGTTTAGAAGCTTTGGCGGTTTTCTGGGTTTCAAGCAAACTTTTGCCATGACCAAATGCAAACTTTTTTTGGTGACATCTCTCTGCCCTTCCTCGTGCAGGCGTCTGTGTGGAAGACAACAGCCAGTGGATGGCGCAGATCAACAGGCTCCAGCAGCTCATCGAGAAGTTGGAGTGCAAGGTGAGTAGTGGCAGAAGGGAGGGGAGCTAGGGGCTGCCCCATACCTTGGCGTGGGCCAGGAGGGTGCTGGGACTTCTACCCGTGCCCACAGCCCTGGTGTTTGGCCCTGGCATCGTTACAGAGCTGCCCCCACTCACCAGACCCAGACCTGCTAAACCTGCTCATCCCTTCTTGTCTCCAAAGCCCCACTTCTCCCCTCAGCTCTGCTGACCCTTCCCTGGCTTTTCTGTGGTCCCTGCTGATCTGAGGAGTCAGTCTGGACCCACCGAACACCACAGATGTGCAGGTCACATCCCTGTTCTCCCCCAGGTACCCAAAGGAACATCCCCAGAGCGTTACCCATCTTCACAGAATCACAGAATCTTCTAGGCTGGAAGCGACCTTACAGATCATCTTGTCCAACCGTCAGCCTGACTGACAAAAATAGACACCCACACAACAAACAAGGAGCATCATCACTAAACCAGACCTCCCAGCACATCTTGTCTCGCTGGGCTGGGCTGTGGGTTACTGCCACATTCCATCTTCTTGCAAAGTTCTCCCAGTAATGATGGTTTTGGTGTTAAATGCAGAGCCCGCGCCTGGAGCCGCTGAAGGAGGAAGCGATGTGCAAAGGAAAAGACGCGGTAAGTCCCTGTCCTGCTGCTTCTTGTTGGCAGGTAACCCCAAAATCACCTCTCTGGCACACACACATGTGCTCGCGCAGCCCCCGTACCCCGAGACTGCTGTCACCTGGGCCAGTTGGTGGCTTTGGTGGGGCTGGGGTGAGGGTCAGAGCTGTGACCTGGGCGTGGGACCATCCGTGGGGCAAGGGCAGCTCTGTCAGGTCCGTGTCAGCCCCAGGTAGTACTCATGGCCAGCCCAGAGGAAGGGAACGCTCCACTTGTGAGCCCCCAAATCTCCTGCAGACCACGTAGAGCCCCGGTGGAGGGGTCCTGAGGCCCCTTTCTGCTGGGGGAAGGACACAAAGACCTGCAGCAGCCCCAGAGCAGTGCCCTGCCACCAGGGCAGGAGATGGAATATCTCCTCTTGGTGCGGTCTTCCTTGTCAAGGCAACCTGCCCAGGTAGGAAGAAGCCACTTCATTTTGGCGTTGTCCCCATCGTGGTGCCAGCCCCGTGTGGCTTCCCCTGCACCGCCGTGTCCCACAGCGGGGTGGGAGCAGGGACAGCAGCAGGGGCAGGGTGGTCCCTGATGCCACTTGTCCCTTCACAGCACATCCTGGTGGCCAAGAGGCAGATCTCGGTGGCGACGAGTGGCATCGAGGAGTTTCGCCAGGCGGTCAGGTCCTACACGGAGGTCACCGCCGGGCAGAGCAGCTGCCTGCAGTAAGTGTGTCAGGCCGGGGGGGCTGGTTGTGGTGTGGCTTGCCCAGAAACGGGGGAAAAAAAGGAGTTTTTGGGGAGTATTTTGTGTGCTGGGTGGGCTCAGCACACACAGAGGACCTTGCAGAGAGGATGGGGGTGTCACCGCCTGTAATCCTGTCCCATCTCCTGCTGCAGGTGCTCCCAGAAGAACCACTTTTCAGTGTCTGGTGAGGAGGGGGGTGGTTTTTATGCCAGAGGGAATGGATGTGGAGGCAAAATGCATGTGTTCCTCCAGCGCTGCAGGGTTTCAAAGTAATGGAGGAGAAGTCAAGGGGAGGGTTCGTGGCGGAGCGTTGCTTTGGGTAAAGTGTGTGGTGCTGGTGGGAAGCAGCTGTGAACACCTGAAGCCCCCGTGTGAGACCAAGGCTCTGCCCCCAGCACCGCTCCTGACAGAGCCCAGGAGTGACCTCAGTGACAGGCCACCGCCAGCGTGTCCCCGCAGACCTCCCAGCTGCTGTGAACACCTGAAGCCCCCGTGTGAGACCCAGGCTCTGCCCCCAGCACCGCTCCAGAGTTGGGTAAAGTGTGTGGTGCTGGTGGGAAGCAGCTGTGAACACCTGAAGCCCCCGTGTGAGACCAAGGCTCTGCCCCCAGCACCGCTCCTGACAGAGCCCAGGAGTGACCTCAGTGACAGGCCACCGCCAGCGTGTCCCCGCAGACCTCCCAGCTGCTCCAAGAGGGGCCCTTCCCTTCTCCCACGGGAGATCTCAAGCCACTTCCAGAGGGAAATATTGGTGCTGTTCCCATTTGAAGTGTCATTTTTCAGCTCTTCGGTTCCAACAGCACAAAATCACGTTCTCAAGTCCAAACAAAAGGATGACACTTGTTTTGACACGTGTGGCAGAGAGAAGTTTTTTTTCCTTTGGAATTGATGGGCTTCTCTGTCAGGAGCACTGTCGGTGTAGGCAAGTGGGTAGCTCTGCATGGGCAGGTGATCCAGGTGAGTGGAAAGCTGGAGCAAAGCCCGGGGAGACGCCGCTCTCCTGGTTTGCTCCAGGGAATTGCAGAACATTTTTGCGGCCTCTGAGCTGCCGGGTGACTGGCTTTGCTGTCCCCCAGAGCTTGGTCCCTTCCTGCAGCACCTGGAGGTCTCCTAGCAGCAGCTGGAGGAGACATTCGTCCTCAGCTGGAATTAAGGATGCTGCAGCCCAGTGCAGATGGTTCCCCAGGCTCTGTACAGAATCACAGAATGCTATGGGGTTGGAAGGGACCTCTGGAGATCATCCAGTCCAACCCCCTGCCAGAGCAGGGTCACCCAGAGCAGGTCCCACAGGAATGTGTCTAGGTGGGGTTTGAATGTCTCCAGAAAAGAAGACCCCACCACCTCTCTGGGCAGCCTCTTCCAGGGCTCTGCCACCCTCACAGGAAGTTCCTCCTCATGTTTAGGTGGAACTTCTTATATTCAAGTTTCTTTCCATTCCCTCATGTCCTGTCCCTGGGCACCACTGAAAAAATACTGGCCCCATCCTCTTGTACCCTGAGCTTTGCTCTCTCACCTCCCTCCTGCCTCCCCCTCCCCCTTCCCATGGGCTGGAAGAAGCCCCATCACGTTCTTCTGGCAGGAGGGAGCGTGGGAAGCGTTGCCTGGTCATGCAGCATCCCTGGGGGGTGGGCAGTGAGCTGTAGTTTGACACTGGGACCTCAGCTCCTGTGCAAGGAGTGCCTCAGTTTCCCTCCGTGTGAAGGGTGTGGGGTGACACACACCTACTCCAAAGGTCTGGAAGGATGAGCTCCTCCCTCAGGCTGTGTGCTGCAGTGCTAGGGATGTGCAAAGAAATCTTTAATTATTAAACACTGAGCTTCTGGTTTCTGGGCAGCAGCAAGGACCAGTCTGATGGCTGTAAAGCTCCTCTGCCACCTGGGTGTAAGGACTGCAAATCATAGACCCATAAAATGGTTTGGGTTGGGAGGGACCTCAACGCCCATTCGGTTCCAACCCCCCTGCCCTGGGCAGGGACACCTCCCACCACACCAGGTTGCTCCAAGCCCCCTCCAACCTGCCCTTGAACCCCTCCAGGGATGGGGCAGCCACAGCTTCTCTGGGCAACCTGGGCCAGGCTCTCACCACCCTCACACCAAAGAAGTTCTTCCCCACATCTCAGCTCAATCAGTTTAAAACCCTTCTCCCTCCTCCTATGGCTCCCCTCCCTGACCAAGAGTCCCTCCCCATCTCTCCTGGAGCCCCTTGAGGGACTGGAAGGGGCTCTAAGGTCTCCCTGGAGCCTTCCCTTCTCCAGGCTGAACCCTCCAACTCTCTCAGCCCCCCCTTCCAGTAGAGGGGCTCCAGCCCTCCCAGCATCTCTGTGGCCTCCTCTGGCCCTGCTCCAACAGCTCCATGTCCTTCTGCTGTTGGTGGCCCCAGAGCTGGAGGCAGCACTGGGGGGGGGTCTCCCCAGAGCAGAGCAGAGGGACAGAATCCCCCCCCTCACCCTGGTGCCCACACATTTCTGATGTAGCCCAGGATGTGGGGGGCTGTCCAGGTTGCCAGCGCACGTTGCTGGCTCATGTTGATCTTCTCTTCCACCAACATCCCCAAGTCCCTCTCCTCGAGGCTGCTCTTCAGGGTCCCCTGGAGCAGCGTGCCAGCTCTGGTGGCCACAGACTCTGGCTCTGAAAGCCTCGTGGTTGTGCCCACGCACAGACCTGTGCCCCTGGCTCCCCGAAATTACCTCTCTGGCACACACACGTCCCTGCCAGGGCGCTTCTCAGTGTCCCTCCTGTCCCCGCAGCGTCTCTGCCTGCAAGCTGTCGGACGAGGCCTGCTTCATCCTCTACGAGTTCTGGCAGGATGTGACTTCCTGGAGAAGGTTGGAGGCTTCCCTTGTATGGGGCTGGGTCCGGATGCTCCGGGGTGGGGTGGGGGGGCTGAAAGGGGTTTCCTCTTGGGGCTCCACAGGGGAC